TTATTGAAACTAAAAGCCCTGTCTGAATTTTATAAACAAAATTATTATTCAAAACCAACGTATTCAACAGTTCATTGCAGCTGAGTATTTTTTTTCTGAAATAATAACCACTCTCCTCGCTCAAAAATCATGTTACTCTGTATGTTTCCCAATTCTGCACATAAATCTTCATTACTTCCAGCAAATCACGCCATAACACCAACTCGCAATCAAAAGCAAATAGCAAAAAACTACAGATGCGTCCCATGATATATTAATTACGTACTTGAAAATTTACCGTTGTAAAAACACTAGAGAATAATTCTGTAGTACCCAACCTAGAGTTTGAATTTGACCGGACCGTTGACGATGGTCGTTAATTTTTGCACAAGGACGTGAGGGTCACTGGGGTTGCAGACTTGTGGGAGATGGAATACCATTTTAATACTGACGTTTGTCGTTTTGCATGGCACAAAAGGGACATAATGCCACAGAAATAACGGAATATGTTATGCCGACTCGAGTAATGGAACACATTTATTGTAGAATGATTTAAGACCTCTTTGGCTTGAATTTTCAAGTGGAAAGATGTTGGGTGTTAGTCATCATTTTTTTGTTGTTGTTGTTTCATTTTTTGGTTTCAAATAATGAGGACGAGACGATCGATTACCCATACAGGCTTGAGATAATAACGCATCGACATCACGATATGTAGCGGTACCGCGTGTGCATCACGAGTTAAATCCTAACGACAAAACCTCGACGGTTTACTGAGAAAACAATTAGCCGCGGCCCAGATGTCTCAACTACCGTTCCAACGCACTGTTATGAAACCATAATATGGTTTTTTGTCTCTTTCTCCCAATGGCAAAATCATGATGATCTTGAACCTGTTCTTAAAGACCCCCTGCTATCATACTCGATTGACTGATCAATCGAACTCTTCGAGGAAACTGATGTTTCATTGGAGATAATTTAGTTTCATTGAAATTTTTGTGGGGTAATTGGAGGTAGTACAGATGATATGGGTTCAGGGTTTTGAAAAACATTGAGTATCATTAACTGTACCCGTATGGACGTATTTGTCCAATGATTCGAGGTCATTGAACATGTCTGCTGTAAATGACTTATTCATCCGGAGATTTATTGTCATTGTGGATTTTTTTTCGTTAATGACGTCGATTAGAATAGAAATTTCGTTGGACGAGAAATTCGGAGAAATACATTCTTAACAGTTTGTCGATTATAAGTCATAAATTTGGGTAAGAGGAACTATCGAGTTCAACGTAGGGGAGGGTGTGCCTGTACCGCCCACCTAAAGGAAAATGCCAGTTTTATATTTTATATTTCAACTTGAGTATAAAAAACGTATTTGTGAGACTTCTTTAACTATTGAACTCGTTATTCTCAAAAAGTAGACGCCTAATTCTCCTTAGAATCCACAAAATTGATTGAAAATGAAAGAGAGAGTCTATTGAGCGGTACTACCCGCCGTCGGGTAATACCGCTCGGCACGATTCCAATGCCGCTCATAGGGTTTAGCGTGTATCGCTTGCGCCGCACCCTAACCTGTACTCGAGTGCTGTCGAGCAACTACATGGCCGATCCTACGAGCGGTATTACCGGCTCCGCTCGGCATGAACAACATTGTTGATAATTATTGCCATGAGTGGAGTTTTGAGTTCGAATCGGTCTCCAAATTACGCGTGAAAATACCACGAATAGAATAACCACAGTTTAATATGAGAATTCAGCGTTTGAAACTATCAAAAACCTTAATTACAAGTCCACAAATTTTGCAGAGTAAAGACCTCAAAACTTCGTTACGTGTTTTTTCATATTTAAAGTGGTAAATAAAGTGAAATTTTTCCGACAATCACATCCTATCATCAAATTCTTCATGATCAAGAACAGAAAGAAATTTTCAAGTTGATGATTGTGGAGAAAATCGGGTGAGCGGTATTACCCGCTGAGCGGTAGAGGCACACCCTTCCCTAGAATTCTCATTTTCTCTGTAATGAGGGAAGCCATGCTCACACCTTCGATATTTACAATATACAATATGCTCTCTTATTCAAAATGGAAGAATGGCAGTGGTGGAAATTCATTAGACTTCATTACTATTACACAGTAATGGGATCTTCGTCTAACCCATGTTCTCCGTCGGATGGAGATCTTCAAAAGAATATGAACAACTTGTCTCGGATAGATTTCAGATGTTTGATTCGGCGTGATCTATCTGAGGTTCATATACGAACGTATTTTCTATTCGTATTTATTTGAATTGGTCTCATTAGAATAACAAATATGACCCTCCGTCTGGGATAGATCGGAGGAAACAGACATTTGAAATTGTTCTGAGACCTTCCGCAAATTTAATTAGACTACTTGGCTCCACAAAACCCTTCCAGAGCTACCCTCAAATATTACCCTGAATTCGTCTGGGGTTTCTGGTCCGACGTAGAGACGAGTGGCTTAAATCTTGATTACTCAAATGATCGATGATGGTATTTCATATCTAATGAAGAGGACAAAGAGACCAAATGATTACGATATTAGTGATTCAATGTCCATTTGTTAGTAGTCAGTACCCAACTCATTTCAAAGAAGCGTGAGCTATGAAAGACCAGCATTATTTACGGCTGATTAGCTGGATGTTTCATCTCATCTCATCATTTGTCAACTATCATCAAATGATGCATTTGTCCCTTCTGTCTCCTGTCAACAGCATCATTTTTTAACTATTACCCAATTACTATTTGTTAGTAAAATGAATCTCGTTAACCATAAATGCAACATTTTGTCAGTGTATGAGAATGTGGGTAATGCCTCGCTTTACGAACTGTCCTATCTCAATGTATTTCTGAAGAATATCTCTGTATTATAAAAATCCAAATCGACTTCTCTGATCAAAGTTTTGTATTCGAAATTGAGACTCCGAAATTAAGGGTCATGAGGGTCAGAATAAGGATCACGAGGGTCGTGTTAAAGGTCGCAAGATTAAGGGTCCCAAGGGCCGATTAAGGGCCCAAATAAGGGTAACAAGAGTCAGATGAAGAGTCTAAATAAGTGCTACAAGGGTCAGAGTAAGGGTCCAAATAAGGGACATAGGAGTCAAAAACCAAGGGTCATAAACTAAGGGTCACAAAGGTCAAAATAAGGGTCTTAATATCTCTTTATGTTGTAAAAATTCAAATCGGCTTTTGGTGATGAAAATTTGGTGCTCGAAATTAAAACGAATTCAAAATAAGTTGAGTAACAAGAAATTGAAAAATGTATCTGATTTACAGTAACAAATAGCAGTCTGTCACCCAATATCATGCAGGGGGAAGACTGATTTCGTCAATATTTTCCCACACTGCACAGAGACATTTATTACGGAAAAGGCTCTTTGAAAAAAGTTGTAATATTTTGGAGAATTTTTTAATCACATTTTTATAACATAAAAATGGCAGATGACTACGTACAACTGTTTTAAAAATTGAGATACCTAGCTATCACTTCCCATGAGGAGTTAGTGTTTTGTTATCCACCATGAAAAATGACAACTAATAGATAATTTGCCACAGCGAAGCAGATATTTGTAATTTCCACTTTTTTCAACTCATTCTGAATGTCAATTAAAGAGGCTCTTTGAAAAAGTTCAGAATTTTTTCAATTTTTTTTTATCATTCTATCATTTTTGGGAATTTCTACATAATGTACCACTCAATTGACAATTTTGGGTTATGAAAGATAAAAAAAATCCAGATAACATTAGAAAGATAGTACACCCGGGCCTTAACTTCAGAAATTTAACATAACACTATTCACTCCAATTGACGTTTATTAAGCCCCATGGAGTAGGACATAAACGCGCAGAGCGCGCGGACTAATTTAGTGTCCTAAAAATTTCCAATCATAACTCAATAACCAAGGCATCAATCGAGAGAACCCTTACCCTAGATTATTCCCCTTCATAAAATTTCTATAACTTCAAATGTCGGGTAATTTCTCATGATTCATCACTATCCATCACACAGCTATAGCATTGCACAATAATCCTCGTAAATGATGATTGACAGGACAATGAAATGAACATTCGAGCTATCATATAATTTAAGAAATTTGGTGGGTTCTTACTGCACATAATAGTAGAACTTTGCATTGTGAAACATCAACTAAAATCTTATATTTCAAAAAAGAAAGCATGATTACAAGTCTAACTGCCTGGGAGTTTCTCAAACATTGGGCAAAACCTGACGTAAATAAAAAATAATGAAACATAATGGGACACGAATTCGTTGACAAGTTAATTACCAAGAAAATCCATAAGAACATCATCAATTATTTCGAATGTCAACTTTTAAATTGGAAAAGCGATTTATTGCTCGAAATTTGGTGGATAAAAATGACCCAACTATTGAGAATATACTATGCGTGGAAAGGTGTCAGTGACTCCAAGGGCGTCGCACTACAAACGTAAACATTCCCGTCTATTCTTACACTTGCCTTGAATTATTTTTCACGTCCACTGATATTTTTGAATTTTTAGGGTTTTGAGAATAGATGGAAAGCGTATAATTCTCGTAGCTATTGATAATCTCGAGGGATAGGCGTTATATTTTTACACAAAATACTTCTCAACTCTTCACCGATTATCTTTAATTTTCATCGATTCCCATTGACACCTTTGGAAAAATGATTGATGATGATTAACTGCAAATGTATTACAGTTACTTGAATGACTCTCAAAGTCAAAAGTCATGCAGAACGGTAGAGAATACTAAAAATAGCTAAGTGGTGCGTTCCATCCACTAGGGTTTGTGTGAGTGCCCAATCCCGAGAATCTAGAATAGTCACGTCTTCTTCTCATACCATTCTATGATTCGCCTTAAATTACAGACTTAAATGGGGAACGAAAGCCAACGTGTCATACCGTGAATTGAAGCTCTCGAATTTCTAAATCAAATTGGAATTCGGGGATACTGAAAATTACGAAAGAAAAAAAAGAAAATGATCTTGAAAATTTTCAAACTTACCATGTGCTCAGTTGCTTTCTCCTCAAGTTCAGACCTTGTCCAGTCAATGCGGAAGCTTAATGGCTGTAATCTAGACTCCATTTCTCTGAGCCATTTCCTCAGACACTTAACTTCATGCTCGAAGTCTTGAAAAATAAAAACTTCAGATTAGATACGCATGTTTTAGTGTTTTTCAATAGTTAATATTAGAAATTCCCGATAATTTCGTTCATATTTACAGTTTCTATTCTTTAACACTGATTTCTAATTGTAATATTCGACTAGGTTAGATTTTTATGCGAGAGAACTTCTTTTCATATCAGTTTTTGCAAGATCAGAATAATAAACAGATATTTGGTACTGAACGTGGAATAGTTAAGTGTCTAGTGGGCTCTGAGAGAAAAATGAACCCGTTCTCAAACAATTCTTGTTTAGGCTAAAAAAATTGTTGATTCGAATTTGAAAGTCTCAACCATGAATAATTACTCTGCTTCGGACAGCAACGAAATATTTGGCCCAAGAGGCAGATAATTCGCACGATAGGGTGCCTTTTCAGGATGCAAATATTTTATAAAGAGGAAAATTTATCAAAAAATATTTTGTCCCTAACTTACAAGATTGCTATGATATTATTATTCCTTCATTCAAGGATTAATTTCTTGCATGTGACTAGTGAATAACCGAAAACGAACATTTTTTAGGAGCAAAATACATATGGGTGTATCGAACAACCAAGAAGTAGGAGAAAATACTTTTTCATCACGCTGTGACGAAAAGTGAACTTTTCGGCACGCTCCGCGTGCCTAAAAGTCCAATTTCCGCCACATTGTGATGAAAAATATTGTTCGTAACTCGTGAAAAAATGTTTTTTAGCTCGTGGGATTATATCACTCGCCTTCGGCTCATGATATAAACCTCCCACTCACCAAAAAACACTTTTTTGCACTCGTTACGAAATATACTATTCTGGAACCACTAAATCTATTTTTGCGGCTAAAAGTTTTATTTCGGCGGACTCTTTGTAGGTTTCGCATAAAAAAATCCTTTTTGATAATTAAAAAAAAAATTTTTTTTGCAATGACTAAGACTTGTTTGAAAACTTCGTCGTGTTTTTCTCAGTGTACTTGACAAGGAAGGGCCGTAATGAGTTGCACCACAGTTTGTTCAACTTTCTGCTTGAAATATTTCGAATTTGTTGGCTATCATTCGTTATCCACAAAAAATGATTTTTCGTTCCATGACTTCAATTATAAACCTTGATGAAAATGTAAGATTGTAATAGTCGAAAATATTTATTTTACTCACTCTTTTCTATTTAAAATATTTGGAAATAGAATAAACATAAAGGAAGAAATGTGTAAAAATAAATAAAGAAAATAAACTAAATAAAATAAAATAAATTTAAATTTAAGGCTCGGGTGGATTATCCTTCGTTATCTCGTTATCGAACGTTATCTCAATTGTTTTTCCATCTTCTTAATGTTAAATATATCACAATTTCCATTGGATTTTACATCACACAGGAATTCCTAAAAATTATGAATGTACAACCAAAAAAAGTAGAAGAAAGCTGAACATTTTCCGAGAGCATTTTAATAAAGATTAAGAAATAAGTCCGATAGAGAGGAAATAGTGAATGGATAATTTATCATGGAAACTAACGATCTGACACCCATTGACTACTATGACCAATGACGATCTAACAGCCATTAGATACATAATAGTATGTTTTCCACTAAGGGAGGGAAAATAAAGGATTGTGCCCACGTGCAGAATTGATAAGCACGTGGGTAAGGGTCCTTTATTTTACCTCCCGTGGTAAGAGCGTTATTCTTCGCCACGGTGGGCAGAAAGGCAGATTTTCTTTCCGCGAAGCGTGAAGCCCGCCGTGGCGAAAAATTATTAATTTCCAATTTCCTCTCTATTGGATTTATTTCCCAGTATTATTCAAAAACGCTTTTTGAAAATGTTCAACTTTCTTTCAACGTTTTTTTGATTGTACAATCATAAATTTTGGAGACTCCAGGGCTATCTAAAACTAAATAGCAATTGGAGATCATTTCAGATTATCAAAATAAAAAAAAACAACTAAAATCACGTTCGAAAGATAATCCACCCGGGTCTTAAACTTAAAATACATTGAAATAAATTGTCAATTGTGTAAGAAATTGAGAAGAACGAATATTAATACTTTTTGAAGATGGAAAATGTTTAATATTTATTAAAGAAGGCAGAAACATTGGCGTTGGTATTCAGCAAAAGTCTTCTCTTGACAACAAGCAAAAACATGGAGGAGACATAAAATTTCTTAATGCACAGACTGAAAATTTTTGTTTGCCTGAAATATCATCATACGAAAAATCATCTTCGAATCACGAATAGTTAAAGGACTCTGTCTCTAACTGTGACAAGAAAGTTCAGATGGTGATTTACCTGCTGAGACGTCCTGATCGGATGCCGGTTGTGTAGGTGCCATTATTTGCTCAACAAGCTCCCACTTGGCATTGAGGTGATCAACTCGCCAGGCAACTTCGTCTTTCAACGAAGGTGAACGAGCTACAAGTTTTGCTGCCTGCTCATTGAACAGTCTTCTCCTATACGCCTTACGTTGCAACTCCTCCATGTGAGTCTGAAATACCAGTTTGTTGCATCAATAAATATTACCCGATGGCATTTTCATTTTTTTTGCATGGCAACAAAGTGGCCTCAACTTACAGCACGAAGGCTCTTATCCAAGAGATTCTCTTCCTTCGAATATACCAATTCCTGCAAAACTCCCAGCCATGTGTAGAGCTCTGAGAATTGACAGCTGACCTCCTTGAGACCCCAGGAGAGGGTCGATACGTCTCCCTCATCCCAAATGAGCTCTCCATTGGCTTCCTTCAACCACAAAAATCATATTTCACTGTCAGTCGCAAAAGTTACTTCAAATTAAGAACAATTTAAAAAATGTTTTATAACGGTTCAGTATCGAGATTCAAATTCAGACCTGCAAAGTTTAAATAATAAAGTCATTGTAAACTGGCCGGAAACTTAGGGTCAAATGGGGATCAAATGAAAGCTCTGATGTTCGACTGCAAAAGTAGAAAAGTATTTAACTGGAGAAAAAATAGCCAAAGTACTTGGATATCCTTAATGATTTTTCGTTTGCGGAGAAAGACGAGAACTACAAAAACAATCTCATTATTCTCTCATTTTCCGGAGTATCTTGCAAAAATTCATGTTGAGCTGGAATCACATTAATAGTTCAACCCATAGACCTTTTCATTTCTCAAGATCCTAAATTTTGGGACATCTTCTGTTCATAAATTGTAATATCCATCATTATCTTTCATTATGAAGTTCTCAATCTGCCTATATTTCTAAGATGGGAACTGCTGTTGTGAATATATAAATTTGTTCGTTTTTTTCTGAAGAAAAGAAATTTATGAACACTCTTGAGACAGCCATTTTCCTAATGGATGTATTACTTCGGCGAAACTAAAAGCATAGCATTGACAACAACTATCTGAAAACACGTTTCGTACCTTGCAACTGTCAATAAGATGAGTGTCCATAATGTAGTCATAATTTGAGCGAATAGCTGCCCAGAAGTCATCTTTGCAGTCATCGCGATTAATCCATGTACGTTGGCAATATTCTTGGTTCGGGTCTTTCCTGTAGATGAAATATAAAGATTTATACATGCATTCCACGTTTTGATTTTGGCTCGAAATTGACCGCAAAAAAATTCATGTGCTCCTCAGCCATTTACGGTCATTCCAGAAATTTTCCAGTCTAATTTTCAATATAATTGAAAACAAACTTTTTTTTTCTACCATAATTGTTTACATTTCGGACACACAAGGTGTCCTTCATCAGGGCGTTAATTTATTATTTTGCTTCCGAATGGAAGCCCTGTTGTTGACCGATTTTTCGATTTTCTAATTTTGATTGCAAATGGTTTAGAGTATTATGAAAGGTGAAGAAATGATATTTTTAGGGTGATGTCTGTTTGTATGTATCCGATAACTTGGCTTTTTGGTGATTAATTTTTAGAAAATTCATTTTCATAGCTTTTACAATACTGAAGGTTGGTATTTTGGATCGGCGCAACCAGCCGAGCAGTTTCGGAGATATTTAATCTTTTGTATAAATCTTTTTCATTAAAAGGTTGAAGACTTTCCTGTAGACACCCGGTAGCATATGGTCACGGTTGTATGGCTGTTACAAGGATCGGGAATTGCTACGGAGCCATTCGGAATTTTACTACCAAGGGAATTGATAGAAATAAAAAAAGAAAGAGACTAATAACGCAAAAAGTAACGGTCACATGACTTCTATCGCATAGGCTCGAACTCCTGCTTGTTTCTTTATTCCATCAGTTGTTTGAGCATCAATTCAAAAAACATTCATACCATAAATAATTAAATAATTAGAGCTGACGGAGGGCAATTCATCAGTGTGCCTCATAATCTAAGTCATGTTTGACACTTGCACCCTACCATAGTGAGGAGACAAAGTCACTAGAATTAAGAAGAAGAACCAAAGGCATGTCGTGCCATGTTTATGAAAAGCCACAATGTTATGGGCAAAGAGTTTCTGACGAAGAGCTTTCTTAATTAATTATTGCCAGACTAGTTTACTCGTTCGTATGAAAGCCCGACTGCAACTTATTAAACTAAATTCTATTTTCTATTTCTATGTTTTTGAAGCTGTCCAACTTGCAGGTTTTACGGGCCGTTATCCATTTTAATCGGGGCGTTTCGTTTATTAGGAGGTAAATAATATAGAAAAAAACTGGCCTTTATCCCTCTTCATTAGGATTTTTATTTTTTATTTTTTATGGAAGTCGATTGTAAAGATTGCAAAATTAGAGCTTGCAAACTAGATATGTAATATTCTTTCGTGGAAAATCGTGTTAACTGAAATTATCACTAAAGAATTCAACTGTTGTAAGAACCCAAAAGGGACAGTATATATAATATCTGGGAAACCAAAGTTTATGAAAATTCCAACAAATAACAGATGAAAAACTTATACCGACAGATTTCACAAACTGGAAATGAGTTTTGTCCTTAGTAAGCTGACCCATATTCAAGACCTTCGTCATAAGCGCAACCCAGAGGAACTGAAACTTTTGCTTTTAACTTCTAGGAGCCCTTAGTTCACCTCCACCAATAATTGTTTATATTCTGTATTTCCTCACTTAGCACTGAATCGCTCGAAACTGCCCCAGCGATGACATAATTAAACTTGTGAAACTCAGCATCATTTTCTCCATCTTTACTCGATAAATTTAAAACTCAAATTCACTTCTTGTCTGTTACTACCAGTTGTTATGTATGACTGAAGGCCCTCGGAAGATAGTCAGTTGCAAATTCCTTCATGAATTTGCCACGAATTTTGTTCAAAATAAAATGCGTAACAGATTGATCATGGTGTATGTAAGTTTCCGTATTATCCCCGGACTATTTTACTCGATCAAACCTTAGATGTTTTTAAGGTACAAATTACATGGAACACTGCGAACAAAAATTATTCTTGCCAAATATCGATTTACTTAAGGCCCGGGTGTACTATCTTCCGAATGTGATCTGGATTTTTTCATCTTTCGTAATCCAAAATTGTCAATTGAGTGGTACACGATGTAGAAATTCCCAAAAATTATGATAGAATGATAAACAAAATTGAAAAAATTCTGAACTTTTTCAAAGAGCGTTTTTAATTGAGATTCAGAATGAGTTGAAAAAAGTGAAAATTACAAATATCTGATTCGCTGTGGCAAATTATCTATTAGCTGTCATTTTCCATGGTAGATAACAAAAATTAACTCCTCATGGGAAGTGACAGCTAGGTATCTCAATTTTCAAAATAGTGTTATGTAGTCATCTGCCATTTTTATGTGATAAAAGTGTGATTAAAAAATTCTCCAAAATATTACAACTTTTTTCAAAGAGTCTTTTCCGTAATAAATGTCTCTGTGCAGTGTGGGAAAATATTTACGAAATCAGTCTTCCCCCTGCATGATATTGGGTGACAGGCCGCCATTTGTTACCGTAAATCAGATACATTTTTCAGTTTCTTATTATTCAACTTATTCTGAATATTATAAATTAAAAATGCTCTTTGAAAAAATTAAGAATTTCTTCTACTTTTTTTTGATTATTCATTCATAATTTTTCAAAACTTCTGCATGATGCAGGACTCAATTGACAATTTCAAATGACGAAAGATGAAAAAAAACATCGAGATAATGTTCGAAAGATAGTACACCCGGGCCTTAAGAGAAGTATTTATTTTTTCAATACTGTATTTTTCCAGTCGAGTCATTACCAAACAATCCTCATTAGGTTTCAATTATGACAATTATATTGCTCTATTAGATGATCATATTAGTTATGATATTGAGTGAACTTTCTCACTAATTATCAATATTAAAAAACTAATCGAAATTCTTTCTTCTTGAAAATCGGAAATTAATAAAAAATGAATACTTCTGGGACGAGTTCATCCAAGGTCATGTGCCACATAATCATCCTCTGGAGCAACATGATTGATTGACTCGATTGGAAAAATACAGTATTGAAAAAAACAGATACTTCTCTCAAGCAAATGGATATTTAGCAAACCATTTTTTATTTCAGTGAAAACAGAATGGAATGCTATCTTTCGACTTTCCAGACATCTATACGAGGGAAACAACTAAATAATTAACAATGCACAAGTTAAAAAATTCGGAGGCACATGGAGTCGAACCCAGGTGGGGTATTATCCCACATCTCCAGTTTGCCAGGCTGGTGCTCTGCCAACATCTAAGGTTTGACCGAGTGAAATAGCCCCGGGATAATATAGAATATGAATATACCGGTCGAAGTAATATCTTTCTTTGTAGTATATAAGTTTCTATGTTATTCTTCACACTGTGTATATTATCAACCTTGAAGAAGTACTTCCAAATGAGTATTGAACTCGTTTCAGAATACGCGTTCCTCATAAAAAATTAAAATTTTCATTCATACCTAAACAGAATCGAATTCCACCAAGTAGAGTCTAACTTACCTTTTCTTAGTGAGACTATTGTAAGGTCGATCGACTCGTATCCTCGCGTGCTCCTGACACTCCAGGCCATCCGCAGAGCGTTGCAGCGAGGAGCACGAGAAGCTCATTTTCATTGCACGAGAGGTTCCTGAAACTGCAAAAATCAACATTAGAATCTCCATTATTTCCTAGCATAAACATTTCTCACACCTCCTTCCTAATCGTACGAATAAGAATACAGTTATTTAATGGGCCATTAATTCAGGAATTACTGAGCGGGTCAAAGGTAATCGCGCGTAGATTGTCGAGTATTTGTATACCAATTACACTGATAACAATTATCTGGCAATTAACCTCGTAACCTCAACACGTGGGACTCCGTTTTTAAACCTGATTATTTCGTCTTATTTTCATCGATTAATTATGTTAAGACTGGGGTGATTCTCACTGAATAAAGGACTTTCTCACGCGTTTCATATTCAGAACGATTTTCCCAGCGATTTCCAGATTTGAGAACATTCATTCATGAGCAACTAAAAGGTAATGATGATCGAAGAGATTCCATTAATTTATATCGTCACTCGTTCAGATGAAAATGAAAAACTTTTGGGTATATTACTGTACATCATGACTCATTCTCAATATTCTCCAGGGTACATTTTTTGTGAAATCATTTAAGGCAATGAATCTATTGACTCTCTAATCGATATAATAGTATGTGATGTAGTGTCACTACTTCACTCTTCAATGCTAATGAATTCAAATTTAATTGCACAAGGGATCAGCAATCATACTTCGATCCTGACAAGAATTTCTAATGCACTTTGTTCGTCATTTCCTAAGAATTAAAATCCATGAAAAATTCAAAATTTTCAGCAATCATCATAAAAATCAAATCAAATCAATATAGCTATCGTAATCTAATCATCTGTTAATTTCGATTTAACCGTAGTAAAACAAACATTTTAAGCTATGATTAAATTCATATGAAGCATGATATTCAAAAATATCTCCGGAATTCCAATTTTCAAAAAATACAAAATTTTTGAAAATTTTCGAATAAGTCAAAATAACAATTATTGCTATCGCCTTCATCTTCGAACTCGGTCAAAAGGACATCCAAATAATTTTTTTAAACTATCATTCAATCAATTCACAACATTTTTTTTAGTTATCGCGGGACAACCGATTTTCAAAAAAATTAAAAAAACTAATCGATGAATTAAATTTTGGTTGATAGCGATTGATAGGGCTCAACAGTACCTACATTTGAAAAAAAAAGATTCAATCCCATCCATTCATTAGCGACCAATTGAAGGAAAACATTACCCACACACATACGTACGGATAGTCTAAAAATTTCATTTTCGAACTCTTTGAATCAAAATGGATCAATATAACACAAAAAATCCAAAACTTAAATTTGAACGATTACAATGCTGCCATTCAGAAGTAAAAACGAAGCAACTTTATCAAAACGATTGACTCACTGTTGTTAAAAATAATTGATTCCATGGCGTGTCGGTCCATTCTTCACTTTCTTTCACCGTCCCATCCTCTCCAACAGCTATCCTCCGTCTAAAAGCATTTGAAAATTCATCCCAATCCTTAACGAGCAACATATCTATGGAATGTAGTAATAATGAGACCATATGACACACAACTGGAAAATGTGGAAAACCGGAATTACGAATTCCTCTTAATGGCACTTGATCTAAAAATTACAGGAACAGATTCTCAACACAAATTACAAGTGACTCAGACGTCTCCTTAAGTACATAGATGACTAAACAATTAGGTATGAGTGAAGAGATTGAAGATTCAATGAACCGAGTGAAAACTAACAGCGAAAAGGACCTTTTCGTCTCAACTCTTGGTGCTCATTTAAACCGTCCACTTTGGATGCTCTAGGAATCCCTAAGAAAGCAAAACGATACGATTCTATCTTTAAAATCCAACACTCATGTCCGTTCACATGCAAGACCCAACTGAGAAAGAAGGAGACGAATACCAAACGGAAAAGCATCAAGTTGAAACTGAAAATTTTGGAAAGGAAAAATGAAAAAATGGGACAAATTCATTGAATGCATTCATGACTCCCACGGATGATGCACCTGCAGTCCTCGACGCTCTGCAGGAGCTCGAACGTAACTCGAGGGGGAGAGAAAAAAAAATCACACAAAACGAGTAACCATGAGATGCCATGGCGCCAGATGACTGTGTATGCGTGTGTACGTGAGTTTAAGAAAAGAATACATGGATTACAATTTTGTGGTGAAACGGAGAGTGGGAGTGAGATGATAGTTTCCTTGGATTATATTCCTTATTAGTAATGTACCAAACAGGATGATTATTCGGATTGTATCTACGTAAAGAGCAACATAATGTTGTAAATGGGGGAAGAAGACAGTGACACACCTGTGTTGGGGAATGAGTGAGAGGGGGGCAATAAAACCCAAGGAAATCTACGGGCGTCCCGGTTTTACTCACCTCATTAATCCAATCTAAACACTCCTGTGACCTTGAACATGGCTCCTGGTGGACGGGGTAAACCTCGTCCCACGCACTAACGACATAACCTTAGACTTGACACAGGGCACATCCGATGAGGTACGCAAAACAACTGCACAATCTAGGATTTTTTTTTAACGGGCCGCCCGCCGTGTATGGCGGCACACACACATATTTAACTCCACGGTGTAGAACTCGTGAGAGGAGTGTTTGCGCATGCGCCCGAGAGACAGCGATGCCAGTGCCAACTCTCGTGTCCATGGGAGAATTCAAAAGTTCGAGAGATCCTCAATTTATTTGTTTTCCATTTGTTTTCGTCACTTTCCGATTTGTTCTGGGCGAATAAATCGTTTTTTGGGAAGAAGAGAAAACTGGGAGTGTCCGGTGTCTACATGAAAGATATTTTTTAACTTTCTATTCAATTCTCCAGAAGACTAGACTTCTTCTTCCGATTTCCGATATCTAAAACATTTTTGGGAATTAAAATGTAGGGATCAACTCATGACTCCGGGCTTCATTTCGGAATTTTTTACATTCCATAAGCGCTCTTTCAAATATGCGGTAAAATTTTTAAGTCTTGAGGTACTTCTTACATCATATCACGCGGACGAACTAAAAGAATTCCATTACTGATCGTTTTTTTCATGTAAAAAAAATGATGAGGGGAAATGAACAGTTAATCTCGGAATAATAACGTTCTTAAAGTAGAATAAACATCACTTGAATTTTGAAGATTAAAATCTGAAGTACATTCTAAACGAAAGCTAATATGAATAGAAATATTCTAGTCGAGTTTGTGCTCAGTCAGCGGTCTAGTATTATCTCTCTATATCATAAAAATCCAAAACGACTTCTGGTGATAAAAAATTGGTACTCGAAATTAAGACTGCACAATGAAGGGTCACAAGGGTCAAAATAATGGTCATGAGGGTCAGAATAAGGGTCATAAGGGTCAGAATAAGTGTCACGAGGCTCAAAATCAGGGTCATAAGTCAGAATAAGGGTTGCGATTGTCACAATAAGGGTCACAAGGTTCAGAATAAGGGTTACGAGGGTCTGAATAAGGGTCATGAGGACCAGAATATGCGTCATAAAAGTGGGAATAAGGATCACGAAGGTGAGAAGAAGGATTATGAGGGTCAGCTTAAGGGTCAGAATAAAGATAATGGGGTTCATATGGTACTCATATGGGGTTTGGTGAGCGGAGTGAGCAGGGGGTGTGGCCCCTAGTATTATAAAAATCAAAATCGACTTCTGATGATGAAAATCTAGTACTCGAAATTAAGACTCCAAAATTAAAGGTCACAAGGGTCAAAATAAGGGTCGTGAGGGTCAGAATAGGAGTTACGAGGGTCGAAATAAGAGTCATTCGGGTCAGTAAGGATAAGGGTCATGAGGGACTGAATAAGGGTCACGAGGATCAGAATAAGGGTCATGTGGATTAAAATAAGGGTCACAACGGTTATAATGAGGGTCGGATTAAGCTTCCAAATAAGGATCACAAGGATCAGATTAAGGATCAGAACAGACACATTAAGGGTCCAACTAAAGGTCATGGGCTTAGAATGTAAGGGTTACAAGGGGCACAATAAGGGTTTGAATATATTTTTCTATCTCTTTATATTATAAAAATCCAAATCAACTTCTGGTGATGAAAATCTGGAACTCGAAATTAAGACTCAAAAATTAAGGCTCAAAAATGAAGGATTAGATTAAGGGTCACAAGGGTCAGATAAAGAGTCAGAAGGGTCGAATAAGGGTTATGGGGGTCATAGGGGGGTTGGCGAGCGGAGCGAGCAGGGGGCCTAGCCCCCCAGTTGATGATAATTAATCTGGAAATGGAAAAATAACAGTCTTATGAGGGCATTAATTTTTTGAGGATACCCAAAAGATTTAAATACAGAAAAAATTTCAAAAAATCAGAAAAAATAATCCCCAATTTTATGCTGAATATTAAAATTATCGTCAGTGTTAAACTTTTGTAATAAATAATTTATATTCTTGCGTGCGCTAAATGGCGTGTTATGTAGAAATCCCCTAGTCAAACCACAGACTACTGTTTAAAAAAATAATTGAAGAAAGAATTTGATAGGTCAATTTCTTACACTAATCAAAGTTAGTTAAATTCATGAGAAAAATTATCAATGATGAATTTTTTTTGGCTTTTTGAATTTATTTTTCCTCGTTACACTCAACGACTCAACTGGAGTTTATTCATACTACTTTAAGACAGAACATGACTAGTTCTGCTTTAGGTTCTTCGGAAGAATTTTGGTGTATTACATATTCACAGCACGATAATTCCATTCATTGAAGAATAATTCAACCTCCCTCATGAATTAACCATGACAACTTTTTTTATCTTCAGAAAAGATGATTCAAAGCGATGAGAATTCGAAGAATTACTTTTTTTACCTCTATTTTAAACTTGAACCACAGAGCACAAATTCGTAGCAATAACTCATCAGATTTAGAGAGTTACATTTACCTCATGAAATTAAACTCTGTCGCTCGTTAACTTGCGAACTGATGAAGGCAGGCTAAAGGGAAAAGGAAAATGTATATTTAACTGTCGTTTTTCCCCGAAGACACTTGTGGTGTCTCAAGTACTCTACAAACTGATGGTTCCGGCTTTTGTACTTCACGTGTATCAATGTTTGAACTTCATTTGTGGGAAACACACACACGCGATGTGATTCTTAGTGCGATGCCCCCGGCGTGTACGTGGACTCACAATTGATTGTGGCTCATAGGTAGAGGGAAATAAGCCATTTAAAAAACGGGTTCTCATTAAAGCAAAAGACTCACAGCTGAAAAATTAAGAAAATAAAAAGCTAATGGGATAGAACCGACCTTTCCCTGGTAGAAGAATGGAGAACGGATCATACGGATCTGTGACAACTTTGTGATTGTCAGGGAAAGTTATTGTGATGACCCCGAAATGAGGAAATCCAAAGTGAAAATTTGATGATATCTTCTCATTTTATGAGCTCTCAAATCTTTTGTCGCATGAGAAAACAAGTGGGAAATTGCTCTTGTATTGCATATGAGGTATTCCATGCCAAATGAGTCAACGGCTAACTCTCACCCTCTTGAAAATTGATGGCGATTTTTTCTACGATTAGGGGGCTTGAAAAACTATCTCTCAATTTTTTTTCAGATTTTTTTGACAGTCCAGTTCGGAAATATGATTTTTTTCAAATTGTTCCGTTTTTTTACAATAACTCGAATTCTACTCATCCGATTTCGATTTGTTAAGGGGCAAAATTTTCCATTTTTCACCACCTATAAGAATGTTTTTTTTTTAATTTTTACCAATCTTTAGATGCTCAAAATAACGAATTTTCGAAAAAAAAAGTTGAAAAACTTGAATTTTGCCAACTACGTCACGGTCGATTATTTTAATTTTTTTTCAGTAATTCTTATAATGAAAACGAAAATTTTGAGCCGTCATACATGTTGGGTTCCATCTAGGATCTATTTTTTTTATATTTTTGGTTCTTAAAATTGCGAGAATTTTGTGAAAACACCTTAAAACGACTTTAATCATGTATTGAAAAAATATGTAATATATAGGTATATATTTAAATTTACTTCATACTGTTTATAATCAAAGTCAACCGATGACATTTTGGGGTATTTTGACCGAATTCGCGGAATTTTGAGAATAAAAAAATTCAAAATAAAATAGATCTAAGATGAAACCCAACATGTATGACGGCTCAAAATTTTGATTTTGATTATAGAAATTACTGAATAAAAATTACAATAATCAACCGTGACGTAATTAGCCAAATTCAAGTTTTTCAACTTTTTTTTTCGAAAATGCGTTACTTCAAGCATCTAGAGATTGGAAAAAATTTGGACAAAAAACATTCTCATAGGTGGTGAAAATGGAAAATTTTGATCCCTAATAAATCGAAATCGGTTGAATAAAACTCGAGTTATTGTAAAAAACGAACAATTTGAAAAATAAATATCTCTGAACTGGGCCGTCAAAAAAAATCTTAAAAAATTTGAGAGATAGTTCTTCAAGCCCCCCAATCGTAGAAAAAATCGCCATCGATTTTCCAGAGGATGAGAGGCAGCCGTCGACTCATTTGGCATGGAATACCTCATATAGTATAGTTATTTTTGCTAATAAATTAGCAATATACTTCCGAATGGTTATTTTGCACATCATTTCCTTGTATCATATCATGTATAATTCATTGTTTATTTCTGTTTATTAAATTGAATAAGATTTCCTTTTACCTAATTTTATCAGATTTTCAACTTAGTTGAATGTTATCAGCATCATTATTCTTATTATCCCTTTTCTTCTATACAACCGATTGCCTTTTTTACAGTTCTATCTCTTCCCTCAGCCCTTCGATGAAATGTTAATAGAAAAATTTTATGTACACATACTTGAATGAATTTGAAACATCACATTTGAAGAAACCATCAGAAACCACACTTTCAGAGAAATTCATGAAAAATTCCAAATTTTCAACAATTATCATAAAGATTAAATCAACCAATATAGCTATTGTAATCATCTTTTAACTTCGACTTAACAGTAGTAAAACAAAAATTTTAAACTATGATTGAATTCATTTGAAGCATGATATTCAAAGCTATTTCCCGGGATTCTGCAGGCGACTGTATCTTTGATACACTTGTATTTGTACGTGGATACGTCCATGGTCTTTCCTTCTGTCTCGAATTTCCTAGAAACTCTTTCCATTCCCTCGAATTTTCTCGAAACTCCTATGAATTCTCTCAAATTTTCTAGGAATTCCCTGAATTTCCTCGAGGTTTCTAAAAACTCCTTGAATTTTTTCGAAATTTCAAGAAACTTCTCGAATTACCTTGAAATGTCTAGAATTTTCTGGAATTTCGATGGATGGCGTTGCACATAAGGACCGTTTCCTAAAATGACCCTTCATATTGAAACCATGAACGTATCCACGTCAAAAATTCAAAAATAAAAAAAAAACAATCGATGAATTAAAGTTTGATTAATGGCGGTTGATAGGGCTCCACAATACCTACATTAAAAGAAAAATTCAATTCCACCCATTCATTAGCGAACAATTGAAGAAAAATATTAGCACACACATACGTACGGACACGGTCTAAAATTTGTATTTTCCGATTTTTTAGATCATAACGGGTCGATATAACACAAAAAATCCAAAACTTAAATTTGAACGATTACAATGCTTCCATTCGGAAGCAAAAAACACTTAATATTTCGTGCAATCAAAACATCTTTGTGTAACTTGCATCGATGGTCCAAAATGAATCAGACAGAATTTCTGGGTGACGGAGCGGATTTGACAATTCATGGAGAAGTCTTTGGCCCGACCGTTAAAGGGTCATACCAGTCCCCTCCAATACCGACAACCTACCTCAACTAATCACCTCGATTTTTAAATGTTTGAATGAATGTAACGTCTCTAAGAAATTGGATTTTTCTTCAACGAACTGCGTCTCAAATGAGAAGTAGAGGACATGTTCCACCTCTTTATGAATGAAGATAACGTATGTAGAGTGACTATCAAAACACCGTAGGTGTAAACGACCTGTGGTCTCTGAGCATGTACATGAGTGCGGGATAATGTTACAAACGATAATTCTGTGGCAACTGCGGTTAGATTTCTCATGGAATTAAGAAAAAAAACTCTTCACTGGATAGGTGAAAATGGGTATTAAAGTAAAAAAATGCAGCATTTTTTGCGTCACTCTACACAATAATAATAATGATGTCAGAATTCAATTTATAAGGGACTGATGAGCAAAATTGATAAATGAGGTAAAATAAACATCTCAAAATGAGCCATCTACACTGAGAAAAAAACACAGTTCTCAAACAAGGACAGGATTCCGGTTTCCGTGGCGTCGTAGGTTGATACTTGATTCCTGTAGTATTTTGGATGAAGAATACGGGAAAAATATTTTAAAAATTCAGTAGCGAAGTGGTAAAATGGTTTAAGTCGATTTTGACTATTGGCCAGTTTTTAGTGAATACCTCGGAATCTAAGGGAGATAGCTAAATTTTCGTCAGGACCGTTTTTGTAGCACTCAGTTTGCTCTAGAAAAAATGTTATTATGAAAATTTCATTATCTCCTTTAGATTCGGAGGTACTCTTCAAAAACTCAACTAAGAGATGAGTCAACATGAACCGTTTGACCACTTCGCTACTGAATTCTACCTTCATTCATTTTCGTACAGATGAAGAGCAAAAGGGGAGGGTCAATCGAAAAGATTACAAGGAAACTCTTGAGTGATACAGTGGTTACTCCCTAACATTTCAGTTCCCTAACATTTCAGTCGGAGAAGTTGACTTCCCCCACTATCGACAACGGAAATGTGTTTGAGTAAATCTGTGTGTGCCTCTGCGCGACGGGCCTGCGCAGTAAAATTACTCTGGGCATGTGAGAGTGAAACAGGTAGATTCTTTTTCTCTATTTATCCCTTTCCCAGCTCCGCCTCCAACGGAAAAGTAAGGGCTTCCCGAATATTTAATTCCTTGAATTCTGGCCCCAGAGGCTGAAATGTTAGGGAGTAACCACTGTACTGCCTTAGTTGAATGTGTTTTTGACAGAAAACTTTTCCCAGCCTTTTTTCTATGACTTTTTTGTCGGCAGGATTCCGGTTTTCGTGCTGGAGCGAAAAAATGGTAATTTCGGGCTTTATGAGTGTGATATCTCCAGAATAATTAAAAATATAATTTTTTCCGTACTTTTCCGTATTCCTCACCCAAAATACTATGAGAATCAATCGCCAAAATGTGATGCCACGGAAATCGGAATCTCCCTGTAGTACAACTTGTAATGCATTGGTTCTAAAGACACGTACTTCAATTGCCCAAATTGAAGTACCAGATAACCTACTTACCGCAACAATACTCGTACACAACCGTAGTAATATAGCCATGAGTAATCAAATTCAGATGTAGAAAATTTAATATATACAAAATAATTACAAGTATAATAATTTTAGTTTTGAGGCTTTCGCGGCCGTGATTATTGATATCATGGGTTTGCGGATGGATGCCGCATTTGGTTTCATCATTGCGCAGACCTTTCGCAAACATTGCAGTCTGCATCTTCAAGGCTATGAGCTCCGGCTATGACTACTCCCAGACATCGGAGCTCATAGCCCTGAAGGTGCGGACTGCAATGTTCGCGAAACGTTGATGCAAGGCTGAAACCAATGATAGTATCCGGAAGCCAGTGACATTATGATAATTTCTTTGATTATCCTTTTTTTTATATTTATTCTTCATTCCTACTAACGTTAGGGTTTCATAGGCACCCACTTCGTCAGCCTGCCCCGTCCATTCTCTTTCCTTCATTCTTCGCAGTTGATAATCCGTGAACGGACTCTTCCCCCCGAACTATTCCACATTAGTGCAATGATTGGAAGGAAAGTCTCATCAGTTTTACAGCTCGGCTGATCGTGTAGAATCCCAGTGTATCCTTCTATCACACTGATTGGAAGGGAATATTGGGCTATTACGCCTGTCTGTACCGTCGAACAATTTTTACACGAGTCAAGGATATCCAAGTATCATTCACAGTTTGGTGTAATGTCCAAAATTTTGTATTAGAAATTTTAATGCTAGAATAATTTTATGTAGAATAACTAAGAAACAAATCGACTAATGTAAACTAAATAGAGTGCATTTCATCACGTGAACTCGATTAAAAATTCCAAAGATATTGTAATCAAGTTCAAAAGTGATGAAATGGCCCACTNTTTAAATTCAAATTTGATTCCCATTACAACTCCAAATTTCTTGATTAGTAATTAGTCTCAACTCAAACCCTATCCCTAAACCAAACCCTTTTCCTTTATATTTTAGGAAAAGGTAAAAGTATAAAACTTTGCGTCGTCCAATAATTATAAAATCTAATAATTTTAGCTTTGATTTTAATGTGACAATTAAAACATGTCCTTTCGATGCTAAAATCTTTCTCCGGACATAACTTTGGCACAGACTGCCCTATAGATTTAACCATTTTCAATCATTAAATTTTGTGAATTAAATTGCGTCATGCAAAAGGTTCCGAGTTCAAATCCCGGCCGGGTAGAATGGTGCGATNTAATCAAGTTCAAAAGTGATGAAATGGCCCACTTAGCATGCCCCAATTACCCAATACTAAGATTTGCGCGCGAAGGAACGATTAAAAACCGATGAATTGAAACCCCAAACACCGAGCGAATTACTTCCCCATAAAANTATTTAAACTCTTGATCATCATCGTAATATACCCTAACCGGGTCGAAGCGATGTAAAATAACGATAAAAAAAAATTAAATTGCGTGAGAAATTTTTTTAAAAAATCATGAATATTCAGCGCCATTAAAATTACATTTTGCACAGAATTATTATTTTTTCAAGCATCTGTTATTATTTGTTATTTGTCATAAATATGTAATTCAAATTGTTTAAACTTTGGGAAACCTTATTTTTTTAGGCTTGAAAATCGATTTCTGGGAAAATTCTAAATATTAATAAATTTGTTACGATTCCGGACAAATGATTTTTGTGGTGAAAAATTGATTGCTTACAAATTGATATCATTGGCTTCCGGATGGATGCCGCGTTTGGTTTCAGCGTTGCGCCGACGTTTCGCAAACATTGCAGTAACAGGNTCATCGAGAGTGGTGACTTTTCTTACAAATAAGGAATTCGTTCATTGTGACGCGTTGTGGACAGTCTCAAACAAACTCTTAAACTCTTAAAATTCAACTGTCAAAATTTATTAAAATATCAACGAGTAGAAGAAAGTGTTTCCGTGAAAGTATCCATAATAGCCTTTAGCACGACTAATTGCTGGTGAGGAAATTACGGATTTACCCAGGGATCTACAGATACATCGATTAATTTATAAAAAACAGACCGAATTGTGAGTAACAAAATTTGTAAACCCAAATTTGAATCCTTCAGATCATTCCAGGGGTAGGAATTTTAACTACATAGATTTCTGGAAAATCACGCTTATGTTTTTGTAAACCGAATAGTTATTCAAAATATATTTAAATTCAAATTTGATTCCCATTACAACTCCAAATTTCTTAGTAATTAGTCTCAACTCAAACCCTATCCCTAAACCAAACCCTTTTCCTTTATATTTTAGGAAAAGGTAAAAGTATAAAACTTTGCGTCGTCCAATAATTATAAAATCTAATAATTTTAGCTTTGATTTTAATGTGACAATTAAAACATGTCCTTTCGATGCTAAAATCTTTCTCCGGACATAACTTTGGCACAGACTGCCCTATAGATTTAACCATTTTCAATCATTAAATTTTGTGAATTAAATTGCGTCATGCAAAAGGTTCCGAGTTCAAATCCCGGCCGGGTAGAATGGTGCGATCTAACTATTTAAACTCTTGATCATCATCGTAATATACCCTAACCGGGTCGAAGCGATGTAAAATAACGATAAAAAAAAATTAAATTGCGTGAGAAATTTTTTTAAAAAATCATGAATATTCAGCGCCATTAAAATTACATTTTGCACAGAATTATTATTTTTTCAAGCATCTGTTATTATTTGTTATTTGTCATAAATATGTAATTCAAATTGTTTAAACTTTGGGAAACCTTATTTTTTTAGGCTTGAAAATCGATTTCTGGGAAAATTCTAAATATTAATAAATTTGTTACGATTCCGGACAAATGATTTTTGTGGTGAAAAATTGATTGCTTACAAATTGATATCATTGGCTTCCGGATGGATGCCGCGTTTGGTTTCAGCGTTGCGCCGACGTTTCGCAAACATTGCAGTAACAGGACTATGAGCTCCAATTCTGAGCTTCGATGTCTGGGGGTAGCCCTTGTATTGTTTACAAATTATTCTCAAAAATGCTCGTAATTTTCAAAAATTGCAATTTTTAAATTATTTTATCAGTCTTCCTCTAAAACTTTCTAATTTTTTTTCAAATTGTTCACATGTTTTTTAACGGTTCAATATCGAAATTAAAATTTCGACCTGCAAATTTTAAATAAAAAAATCATTGTAAAATGTCCGGAAACTTAGAGTCAAATGAGGCTCAAATGAAAGCTCTGATGTTCGACTATAAAAGTAGAAAAGTATTTCGCGGGAGAAAAAATAGCTAAAGTACTTGGATATCCTTAACACATAGCTATAGAGTATATGTAACGATACAGCAGTTATATCGCAGTGCACCCATTTAAGTACTAGCCAAGCTCGACGCTTCTCAGCTTAGATGACAGCCGAAGCTGCATACTAACTGTGTAATCATTGCTGTCGGTAAGTGTAGTAACTTTTCAGGACCATTTGTGTTGTCATCTGGCTCGAATGATTCCTAAGAGGGGAACCAGAACCCAGTAAATTCCGCCTATGAATTGAATTGCAGCCGTTAATTGGAGACAAATGAGAGGACCTGAAAAGCGAGAAGAACAATTCAGTTAAGAAGTTTTTAAAGGGATATGCAAATTTAATTCTTGGGTGATTTTTACATAAAATTTATTTATCAAATTCATTTAATTAGCAAGAATCTAATCTAATCCAATCTAACCGGTCAGATTGAATTTAACTACTGATTCCGCGAGAAACGAGACACGAGACGAGACCCTTATATTTTCTGAACTTTGTTTCCTGATCCACATCTTTTCCGACTTATTTTTTCCATGTGGGATGAGACGAGGTATGATGAGTCGAGATGAGACGAGAGGAGAGACTACGGGAAAATCTTTCGACTCTCGAATTTTATGAATTTTATGAATTTTATGAATTTTTTCTTGAATATAAACCTTAATAAGCTCTATTCACTAACACCAATTGAAATTTAATTTTTCATACAGATTCAAAAAAATGAATATTCTTCCAAAAATCAATTTTTCAACGATAACACAAAAAATTGTCATCAAAATAGAATTAGTCACGGCTCCAAAAATTGATAACAATACCCTGTGGATTCTATCAGAAAATAATGGTGGTCGCAAATCGAAATGATACGCAAAATTTTGATGACATTTCAAGTGATGATAGTACATGACATGAAAAAATTGAAGAAGAGAATAGTAAAGTAAGAATTGAAAAAAAGAAAACTCATTCGGAAGCAAATTGCTAATTTATTAGCAACAATTACTATATTCAGTTATAAAACTAGGCGGGACGCGCGTTTCGCACGCGCTATACTAGCCAGGTTGCATGACGTCAATATATGTCGTCATTTTTTTAATTCTAATTCCCCGGATTTTCACGTTCTATAACAGCAAATACATTCTGAAATGGTACATGAATAGTTTCATTCATTTGACCAATAGTTATAGAAAAATCCAAACCAAGCTGAGTTTACAATAAACATAATGAAATTCAATTTTTGGATAAAAACTTCCATTTGTTAAGGAAAATTAACGTTAATCAAATAATTCAGAGGTTAATTTCAAAGTCATTTAATATATTTTCACCTGGGCATAAAATATCTCTCCAGATTTGAACAGAAACCGAACAAATCTCGTCGTTAGAAGGAGAAACATGCAAATTTGCAAAACGTGACATGTTAAAATCGCTATACTACCGCTTATAACAATTGATCTAGTGGATGGAATAGATAAAATGGGGTCTCAATTTCAAGAACTCGATGAGACCTTGAAATCGACATATGATATATCCCCGCTGGTCAAGTCTAAAGCCTACATAAATGGCAAAAACAGTCATTTCCGAGGTGTGACATAACGTGAAAAATGGAATCAATCTACAATAACTTACTGAAATTTGAATTAAATTAGATTCATCATATACCATTTTGAAGAGTAGTGAATGCTCTTCAATATGATACATAGCTATCCCTGCCTAGTCCATTTAGAAGCATCGAAAACTCCACCTAAACTTGATTTTACAAGTGAAACATGCAAATTCAATTTTCGACTAAAACGCTCATAAGTTGATGAAAAATTGGCGCAATTGGGCAAATCATGTATGATTTTAAAGCTTTCAATTGCGTACATTAAATGTATGGTTCGTGAAAAAGGAAGAAGGACTTGAGCATAGAAATCAAAGGAAAAACCTTGGTTACGGACACTGAGTTTTCTAAATGCCAAAAATGCCAATATCCACTTGCTGAACAGTTTGGGAAGACTGAGAAAACAATTGGAAATTTTTCTGATTGTTTTGGTCGCTTACTTTTAATGAAGGAAAATCCTAAGATACTCAGCCCAACGATACTAGATAACATGATATGTGATTTTTTCACTGATTGACTCCCCATGGCATCGAATAATGCTGACTCGAGGCATACCGAAGTACCACCTACACTCACTCCTCCAAGAAATGCTACGGTGACATAAATTGGAAAAGCTACTTCAGTACATAAGGCTGCAACATAAAATAAAGTCCAACTCTATTACTGTTTACAATTTTCAGAAACAAGATGAATAAACCGGACGGTGATGATTGAGAAAAGGTAGGATGAAATATGGAAATAAAATTGAAGATGATAATTTACCTAGAAGTGTTAAGCTTCCGAGCCAGGATGCACTCCCGAAACAAAAACTCCTCCACCTGGCAGTGCTGGGTTGCCAATAGGACGCCACATTTGGAATGAAAGTCCCCAATCCAGCTGCAACAGATGTAGTCACTCCTTCCGTCAAACTAGCTGATCCTAATTGCACTGTCGCTAACGATGGAAGTAGAATCCAGAGAAAAAGACCTCCAGCTTTACAGCCAATGCAAGCAACTGCTCCCACCCAGAATTTCCCTGACTTGAAAACTTGACACTTTTGTCTGAACCCTGAGAAAACATTCACTCGGTGATTCAAAACGCTGAAAATCTCTCGATCTTCTTCGGGATCCTGGAACAGACATTCCTCTTCAATATTGCTTTTTCTTTTGCCGGAAGCGTCTGTTCAAGGTGATTTATTTGCAGAATACCTCAGAATTGTAGGCGAGGAAATTGTAAATTTGGATGAGAACATTTTTCGTGGCTCTTAACTTGAGTTTTTAAAAGAATTTAGCAAACTGCCTCAGATTAAAAAATATTCATTAAAAACAAACTTCAATATAAAAGAACTCCTCTTTTCGCACCAATTTACTGTTGATGTGATGAAAGGGCCGAGTGAGTTCACTAATGATACGTTAGTGTGGAAAAATCCATGGATAGGTACGTAAGCACGAGTGGACTAAGATGGATATCCTTAATATTTCTTTCTCATCATGCTCATATCTCATCGAGGGGCTGGTCACTTAGGACATCACTGGACCACACGATTGGAAATCAAGGAAGAAATCACTGGAAATCAAGTGATTTCCATTTCTGGTAGTCATTTCTAATGACTTCTGGAAATCCTCAGAAATCAGTAGAAATCATAAAGAAATCAAGTGATTTAAGAAATAATTAGAAATCATCGATGAAGGCGAACCCCAAATTTTTTATTCGAACCCGTTTTGATACGATCCCGTCTGATCCTCATGACCTTCTTATGCACATTTATTTAATTCTTGCTATTCTATTCATAAGGCCCTTCTAAAATTTTTGGTTCCCCGAATCTTACCCATATGCGATGATCGGTACCTGCCGATCATTGCATATGGGTATGATTCGGAGAACTTGAATTAACTTGATGATTTCTTGAAATTAAGAAATCAAATTCAAATCAAAATCTACTGATCAAATCTGATATTATAGATTCATCAAATTTTTTTTTTAGTTTTGATGATTTTCTTGAAATTAATTTCAAGAAATCATCAAAACTCTGATGAGTTTCTGAGTTTTCTGAGTTTCCACTAAACATCTACTTAAAATCATAGAAATCACGAAAACATAAGAGAAATCATGATTTCGAATTCTCATTAAGAAATCACGAAAATCATTCAAGAAATCCCAGAAAATTATCTCATTTGAGAAAACACTGAGCCATACCCGATTGAGGAGCGACCAGCCCCTCGTATTTCATTGAGTCGTACATGAAATGCGATAACTTTTTCTTAATGATCAATATACGGTGACAGGACTAATTACCACCTAGTAATTTGATCTCAACACGTCAATTCATCACACAGACATCTGAACACAAATAAATTGAACACAAAACCTGTTCAACACAGAACAAATTTAACACTAATTAAAAGACACACAAATTTATTACTAAACCCGCTTAATTCCAATCATTCTCGTTCTATACAAAAACAACCTTATGAGAGATCAGTCCGAGGTCAACTTTCTTTCCCTCTTGTTTTCTCTGTCTGGGGTCAGACATCAAACATACAAAAAATAAATTCTCCAAGTAATAATAACAACCCAGAGAATCGATATTTATAGCCTCCACTTATAATATGAAGAAAAGCCGAGGTAATCGAATATTTGGCAATCAATTTATAATCAGCGCACTGGGGACAGTATAGATTTAGCCATGCGGTCTTCAAAATGCCGCTCCAGTTTGTTTCGAGTCACAGCGGGAAAATGTAGGAAGAGACGTTCTTGGGAAGAAAAGGAGAAGATATCGTAGGATGCTAGGCCGAAGAAAGTGGTGGCCAGCTTCAGTGAAGAGATTGATATTATAGATTATATACACAGAATTACACATAATATTAAATTGTTAACAATAATACGGCTTAGGAATGTTATGTGATGAGGATTAGATGTGAGTTATTGACTTTAGTGAATTTTCTATCGTTAAATAACCTGCGATGACGTGCAATTGTGTGTACAAATATCCAATGAATAATTTAATTTGTTAAATAGGTTTTGTGTTCAATTTATTTGTGTTCAGTTGCCTGTGTGATGAATTGTAGTATGTTCAATTGTCGTGTTCAAATGTCTATGTTTATTAGTCATAGAACCCGATATACCTCTCCTAGTTTATAATAAGTCTCATATTTTTTGTGAATTACAAATATGAGAAGAAGTAAAAAGTATTCCCTCTATTAGTCTTACTTATGCAATTGAGAAATGTAAAAATCCTCTAGACCATGTGTACTTTCCTTTCTTCCTCGCCTTTCACTTCTTTCAATGTCAAATATTCATTATTTTAATCAAATTGCTGAAACCCAATGGAAAAAATATTTACTTGAAAATTGTAGACATCATTTCCATCCCGAGATATACTTGACGGAGCCCCTTCAGTTCTGCTTTCTCCATTGAACATATTCCTAGAACTATTATCCTGGCTATTTCCTTCAGTTCTGCTAGGAACCACTCTATCAGTCAACTCATTGTCCTCATCACTGATCAGAAGAGTATAAGGACTCGTCCGAGAATGAATGATTGGCGATCGCAAAGCCAATGTTCCCATTGCCGCTGGGATGAAGCAGCAAGCCATTAGAAGCAATCCACTCTGGGGAGTTGATCTAGAGAACAATGCGAGGGCAAACCCAGGAGCAAAAACAAATCCCAGAGAAGTCGCCACTTCTTTCAGAGTCAAAGCCAATCTCAAGTGAGTACGAAAGTTTCTTCGGAGAACGTTTTCCGTCTGAACGAGGATAAAACTTCCTCCAATTCCCATTACAGCCCCGGCGCTTGAACTTGCTAGGTAAGCACCCACTCCACCTGTTGCCAAGTAGCCTGAGGCTAGAACACCAATTGATAGAAGGCAAACTCCAATAAAGCCAACGAGCCGAGGTACTGTGGCTAGGTGTACTATTACGCGGGACCATGGATCTAAAATTATTAAAAAGTATCTCTCTATGTTATAAAAATCCAAATCGACTTCTGGTGATAAAAAATTTGGTACTCGAAATTAAGGGTCAGGAGGGTCAGAATAAGGGTCACGAGGGTCACCAGAATCATAATCAAGGTCACGAGGTTCAAAATAAGGGTCATGAAGGTCAAAACAAAAGCCACAAAGATATTATAAGAAAAATTCACCGCGGGAAAAAAAAATTTTCGTTTTTTGAGAAAAAAAAATTGATAAATACCATTTTCCGTGCGATTTTTCCTCATGAATCTGATTTTGTAGGTCATAATTGTCTGCTGCTACTCAAAAGTAGAGACTCGAATTTTTTTGATTCGAAAAATCAACCCAACAAAAATCCCCAATGTATTGTTTTTCGGAATAGTTTTTTGAATAGAATCTGAAATTTATCTGCACAACCACTCCCTCTCGTTGCTACGCAACAAAACAGTCGGGAAATATTCGATAATTCTCGAGATCTCGTGGTATTACTACTGATTATTTTTCCCAATCGGATTTTGGCCAAGCAGAGTGCAGTGGACAACATCAAGAAGTGAATTGGGGAAGATTTGAACAAATTATATTAATGGCATAACCCAATTTCCATAGACTGTCAAATATAAGATTCTATCTGAAATGAGCCGAGAAAATTAAGAGCTACTGCGAAATGTTCAGGTAAAAAAAATGAAGAACTACTGCGAAATATTGAAAAGCTAGGAGGAAATATCCGAAATAAAACTGTCGGCCAGACTCAAATGCTGCGCTCTATTTGGTCGAAATCCGATTGGTAAAATAATCAAACAAGTATTAAGATTCGATGAAATATTCAGGGAATACGAAGGAATATATGATCGATTGGGGCCCTCATTAGATCGAAACATAAAGTCTCATGTTTGGAGCCCTCAGAATCAACTATTGAAGGATACAGTTTAATGAGTGACGACATATTCCGCATCGCTAATGGATTGTTTCATTGGCACTGTTAAAAAGCACTGAGCGTTTGATTAAAAAAATAATTCGTCCGTTTTACTACATTTTCCTCTCAGTGTAGAAATAAACTTACCAGCTAGGCATAAGAATGCTGTGAAGAGAATAGGAGTGAGTCCAATTTCATGTTGCCACGAATCCAATCCATATGCTGAATCAAGTGCTAAATCCCCGAGGACTACTCCATACATTGATGTTATGGTTGGCACTGTCATCTAGTTTCAAAGTACATGAGTCATTGGAAGAAATCTGCCTCGAATGTTGAAAAAATTTGATGAGCAACGATTTTATTGCTGAGTAGTTACAACGAACCAACGCGTGTCCGGCAAATGAATCGCCAACACCAAAATTTTTTTTTTTAATATTTACATGTGATTGGAACTCAAAGGTCAAACAATATTTTGATTTTTTGAACCTTTTCGGAGATTCTGAGATACTTTTACACTGCAATTGGTCCAAGATTTTGAGTTAGAAATGTACAATCTCCCAATGCAATTATTCGATATTTTTCTTCGCATTTGATCGTTTATTTTTACCTGAATGACCATTGAGCCAGCGAGTACAATCCAAGAATACCCGCCATCAGGTAATGTTGGCCCCAATTCTGGCACAGAACTGATGACTTCATCCAGGCGAAGACGCCCGGCGTATGCCATTCTTCGAAAACTAAATTGCAAAACTTCTTAAAACAGTCAATATCTTTATCACACCGAATGGATTCCCATGTAGAAATGTAACTAAAGGCCAGCCATTGTCCGACACCTCAACAAGGCAAGTGTATCTAATCACCTGAAGAGTGCAAACAGCTTGATAGCTTGATGATAAGGTATAAAGATAATTCAAAAGCTATATTTACCCAGGTAAAATTATCTTTTCGAGATTCTCATTTTTATTTTTATTCAATTTTCCTCATAAAATAAATTTTCTCGATGAATAAACGCAGAGAACACATTTTTACATATTTTGCGGTGGCGAGTCGATTTAATATATATTTTTTTATCCAGTTTTATGTATAATGTGACGTGATCAAGCACCGGGCAGTGAATTATTAAATAATCGAGTTTTAATGACTACTTTACAAGTACTTTTCTATCATGATTACCCACATGATTAATTTCTTCATTCAGCTGAGTAGCTCGGACTCTTCTTCTTCTATTAACACATGCTCAATACTCACTTTCACTTGTTGCTGTTCGCCCATTAGAATAATTATTAAAAACCATAAAATAAGCATTAATAATAATTAAGTATTTTTTAAACTCTTGAAGAAGAGAGAAGATAATCGAGAGAACTACAAATTTAAGTTTCATTCTCTCGAGCCTCTGCAGTTGCTATTGAGGTATATCTTACGCGTTTGTTCACTGAGTCTATTACTGGTCCAAGCTTTTTCTTCAGCTCTTCACGCTGAACGTACATTAGAGCGCAGACGAGCGCTACTAGGACTAATGAGAGGATCACAACTGCCGCTGCCGTTGCTGAGCTTCCGGTTGCTAAACCCAGTTTTGCGATGCAATTCTTGGTCTCTTGGAAGGCAATCTGTTTATTATGTTCTGCAATACATAGGAACGATTCAATTATTTGTATGTGAAGTATTCCATGCCAAGTGAGTCAACAACTGACCCTCACCCTTTTGGAAATTGATCTCGATTTTTTCTACGATTGGGGTGCTAGAAAAACTATTTCTCTATTTTTTTCAGGTTTTTTCGACAGCTCATTGCAGAGAAATGATTTTTGTTTGTTTTTTCGTTTTTTTTTCAATAACTCGGGTTGTATTCAGCCAATTTCAATTTACGACGGCTCAAAATTTTCCATTTTTTTGCCATCCATAAGATGATTTTGGGTATTTTTTTCAACCCCTAGGAATTCATAAATTTGAAAAACTCGAATTTTAAAAATTAGCCACCTTTTATTTTTTTCATTTTTTTGTTTCCAAATGGAAGTTTGTAATCGTTCAAAATTAAATTTCCAAATTTCTGTGTCAGGGTAACTAAATATGGTCTAAAAAGTCTAAATATGCGATTTTTAGATGGTGTCTGTATGTATGTATGTATGTGTGTACTTTTTTTTCAATTTTTTTCGCAATTTTCTTTATAGGAGCTTGATCAAATTTCATGAGATTTTCCGTGGATATAGACGTTAATAGTCTCTATTCATTGACAACAATTAAAGTTGAATTATTCATAGTTTGTGAAATTTTTGTTTTTAATTTATTGAATGTATCAATCTTTCAGGATTATTTACAGCGATAGTTACATGCAATTTGTTGAAAATTTAATATATCATATCTCTGGTTGTACGCTCTAAATTTGAATTTCACATTTTTGGATGAAGTCGTTGATTATCTTGAGATGTTCTGGCGTAGTTGAGGTCAGGAACGCAGCTATGGAGTAAGGTTTCTGGAGTTTTAGACTCCTGAGTTTACTTTCTAGTACTTCTCTTTCCTTTTTATACTGTGGACATTGCCAGATTACATGATTTATGTCCTGCTCTGGAGCTCCACAGCTGCATCCCGGGTCCTCAACGACACCTATTCTCTGAAGAGATTTGTTCAGGTGATAATGGTTAGATCTGGCTCAGTTGACCCATACAATGTGTTTTCTGGGGAGTTTAAGTTTTTTAAACCAGGGATTGGTATTGTCTTTCCAGTAATTTCTGAAATATTCTTGCGGTTTAGGGTTAATTTCGGATTCAGCCTGGGCTTACTAGCGTCTTGTGTATTCTAGTAGCCTTCAGCACGGACGAAAAAATTTAATAGAAAAACCTATCGAATTCGTTAGAAAATTCTATTGAATTTCTATTGAACTGTTCTATTAGTTTTTGGCCGATTCTATTAAAATGTTCAACAGAAAATATTCAGTAGAAAAAGTCAATAGAATTCAATTTTTCTGTATAACTTATTCTATTGAGATATTTTCTATAGAATTTCCTCGGCTCAAATTTTCTAAGTTTTTCCATTTGATTTTCTTGATGAGAAGAAAAGAAAAATAGAATGAAAAAAAAATTAGAAAATTTGAGTCGAGCAAATTCTATAGAAAATATATAGGAAAAGGATAAGTTATATTTTTTCAACCCTTCAACTGAAGATAGACAGTGTGAGAGAAATTTTCATAAATCAGTGGTTAAATGGTGAATAGCGATTAGGACATTTCACTCTACTATCAGTTGCCTAAAAATATCTCTGAATTGAAAGCAAAAACGGAAATAACGCTCTCGTACCGAAACCCGTGATTGTGGACCAAATACCCGTGGTCGTGAGTACTGTTACTTTCCCCTTCATCTCAATACATTTCCCCCTGATAAACTCCTCCCCCCAACGGTGAGCCCGCACATAGTCTTTTTGTCCCTTAATACCGAACCCATTGGAATGATGTATTTTCTTTGAGTGCTTGATTTTTACCCCTAGACATGGATCACTTCTCCCCTTTTATTTTTTCAAGCACACAAGAATCGCCCCCCGATTAGCGTGTACGAATTGTAGCCTGGCCTTACCTACTTCCCTAGATAACTGATAAAAGGCAATTGAAGAGTCTTGTAAATCTCGTGTAAATAGTACGGATTTTATAATATATCAGATATTAATTTAAATCAAGTAGAATCATTGTCCCTATTATTTGATTACCTTGATCCCTCATTTCAGGTCCTAATATTAGATTATATCAATTCCCCAACATAAAATAATCCCAGCCCCAGGTAAATATAATTCTATATTAATTATAATATATTGAATAAAACCCCCGGTTACATTTTTCTTTCATAGAGAAGAGTAAGAGCTCCATTAAAATTCCCTCTTCTCCATTACATTCAGAGATATGCCACACGTATGAACAAAATGACATAGAAAATCCTAGCGCATTCGAGAGGTAGTCAGTTAAAAATTCTGTCATAATTTTCTTTCGATTTTCATGAAAAAATTCTGTAGTTTCTTCACGCGTTTTGTTACAATACAAACAATGCAGCCTAGATTTACGTTTTTCTACGCATTTACCATTTAGAGATTTTCTCAACATAAATTCTGCGCAGGAAATAGAAGCCGAAAACCTTAGAATATTTATCTCGAGGAGTTTCCATTGAAAAAAATGTTAATAGAATGATTTTGTTTCACTTTTTGAATCTTTTTGGAATTTGAAGAACGTGCGCAGAAACTGTACAATTATCAATAAAAATGGGCAGAAAACGACTAGGATTCCAATCGAAGTTCTTCGTGAATGCGTCACTCACTCACGGAATCACGGCGCCACTCTGGCATGAAATCATTCCGAAATCACGGGAAATCGCCGAAACACTGAAATCAACTGATTTCAGCTCTCGGAAATCATTTTCGAAATCATCCCCGAAATCACATGAAATCGTGTGAAATTAATGAAATCACCGAAATCAGTGGCACACTGGCGTAGTATGAACCGTGCAAGTAATTTGTGATTTTGATATGGACACGCCTACCCACGATGATAATAAAATGCCGTACTCACTGCCATATTAAAATGGTAAAATGGACCGCTTTTCATCGTCACTGATTTTCATAATTTGACACAACCCGTTGTGCCCCACCTCTATCATTTATTAACTTTATTTTTCTGAAATCATCGATTTCGAATTAATAAAATCATTCGAATCATGAAATCACCTCCTGTGACGCTCGAAATCAACGAAATAATTTTTTCAGAAATCACTGAAAACACCCGAAATCTACTTGATTTCGAAATCATGGTGTCACTCAATTATTGAATGAGTAGCGCTTCGTATTGAATTTCTCTATTCGAATTGTTAATCAATGATATATTGAAATATTACTTACTATCTTTGCATTTCAAATCATTCCGATTCCTCACAAAGATCTGAGTTTTTTTCATCCACTTGATAAACGGATTAAGCTTACACGAGCACTCAAATGGATTACCCAACAGATCGATTGTCACAGTTTGATTGTGCTTTGCAAATGTGTCTAAGGTCTTCATGTCCCGATCTAGTACCCTAGTGAATTTGTTCCGTTGAAGATCCAAAAATCTCAATTTGTGCAGGCATGAGAGGTTGAAGTGCAATGCAGTCAGTGAATTATCTCCCAAGTGAAGATCTAGGAGATTCGGTAGATCACAGAAGACATTCGGATCGCGGAATTCAGAGATTTCATTTTGCTCCAGATGAAGCTTTATCAGCTGAGATAAATTACTGCAAAAGGAAACTTATGAGTAACTGACAAGTGTATCTAGGGTGAACTGACCAGTGCTCGAACCCGTCCAGTGATCAGACTAATTTACATAATTATCGTGTAACAAATATTTGACACCACGGTATGTGACTGTTATCCTCTAAAAACCAATATAATTTCCATAAATTCAATGAGACATTGTCAAATGTTCCCTTATTCAATTTATTATTGAACCTTCTTCATTCGTAACTGGGTGTTTTCGCCAATTATTGGTAAGGTTTTGTACCATCAAAAATTTAATTTGACGAAGCTTCTTATATGGCTTTCTTATCATTCAAAAGGCCTCAAAAAAATTTATGAAATTTTTTTTTTCAAATTTTATTACACCCACAAGCTTAATTTTTAAATTTTGTGGGTTTTTGACAAAATTTGGGGTCTCAGCAGAGATCAACTTTTTTTCGCGTTTTCAATATGTATTTCCGACGGAAATTTTCCGCTCTTTCGATTGAGCATGGCGCCAATTAGCTCACATCGTCGGAAATGCTTCAAAATCGCAAAAAAAACTAGAAAATTGTGCGTGGAACCCTTCCTCCACCGCGATTCAAGATTTTTTTCTTTCCTTACTCAAAGTGACTATTTTTGCTAACCATTAAAAAATTAGACTGGGAGTCGAATCCGTTCTATCCAAAAATAATGTTTTTCACATTTCGTTTTAAAATTTTTTTCCAATTTCTCATTTTTTTATTTTTTTATTCCAAAATTCATTATTTATGGTTCATAAATGGTCGATAAATAATAAATTTTGAAATGAAAAAATTAAAAAAAGAACAAGTGGGAAAAAGAAAAAAACGAAATTTGAAAAAGAAATTTTTTGGACAGAAAGAATCCGAGTCCCAATCTGATTTTTTAATATGTTTCTTAAAAATAATCTCTTTGGATAAAGAAATGAAAAAATATCCAATCGAGGTGGGGGAAGGGGCTACCACACATAATTATTCACTTTTTTGGCGATTTTAAAGAACTTTCGATAATGTGAGCTAATTGGCATCATGCTCAATCGAAAGAATGGAAAATTTCCGTCCGAAATACTCATTGAAAACAGAAAAAAAATTACGCGTGCTGAAATGCGATTTTTTTTTGAAAAAATCACAAAATTCCAAAATTAACTTTGTGGGCGTAATAAAATTTGAAAAAAAAAATTTTTAGGCCTTTTGAATGATAAGAAAGCCATGTGGAACCTCAACAAAATTAAATTTTTGAAAAGACAAAACTATACCAATTGGCGAAAATACCCAACTGGTCTTTGAAGACCCTTATTGTTTTGAGCACCGATCGATTTACCCAATCTTGCACTTAATAATCGCTCATTTACCTATTAACGAATATATTGTGCAGTGTTTCAGCTAGATCCCTGGGAGGTCCATCCTCGAAGGCATCAGTCAAATGCAATTCCAGGAGGGACTCGAAATTGGAGAATACGCGTGGATGATCACTTTGGGACTCTATAGATAATTCATTGAAATCTAAACTGAGTCTTTGCACATTCTTCACATGGTGATAAGCTTTTCCACTTATTTCTTGAATTAGGTTGCTCGACATGTCGATAACTCTCAAACTTGGTATCCTATCTAATGTACCGAAAATATTCCATGGAAGCTTTTTCAATGTATTGCCCGTGAAAATTAATACCTGAAATCAATGGACATGCTCAAATTTTAAAAAGAAATTCGTACGGAACATTGTTTGGTGAACTTTCTTCATTCGTTTGAAAATTTCTCGAGCCAAGTGTTTGGTACTTGATGCAAGAAGTTTGTGTCGTTCAATCAAGTATTTTGAAAGCCTTGAATTTCAAATGTTCGTGTTATAAATTCACTAAACGAGTTCACTATTAAAAGATGATTGAAATTTTAGCGGCTGTTTAAAAGTAATTTCATATTATTCAACAGCAGAATGATGAGAATTCCCCAAGCTACTTGAATTTCCAATCAAAGGACGAAATATTCAGTAATATATTTACCTGAATTCTCATGATTTCTATCAATTTGTATGGAGCAATTGTGCTAAAAATGATTAGTTTTCACTAATTCAATGGCAGAATTCCTTAAAATTTCGATTATGAACTCTTACTTAATAAAAATGTTCCAGGAATGTACCACAAATTTTAGGCAAAGAGTTTTAACAGTATAGGGGAGAATGGGGCAATATGGACACAATATTTAAATAATGAGTTGAGTTGGATCAAATGGGAGCACGTTTAAATATTTTCCGTCAAAAAAACGTCGTCATAAAAACTCGGTTTTTTTAACTTTTGCGATTACAACGTTTGTCATAAAAAACTCTTTCAAAAACAACTTCTGTACAAATAACTTTGTTAAAAACCCGAATATTTTTTTGTGTTTTTCCGTTTTAATTTCTATTCGGAGAGATTGGGCTGTATTGACATTATCTCCTGTAGACATGTGGAACTGTTATCAGGCTGTAGTCGAGGAGTTGCCTCGTACCAACAATGGCGTTGAAGCCTGGCATCGTCCATTTAGTAGTCAAGTGAGGATTTCACATGCATCTATTGGTAAATTTATCAATTGTCTCAGGGATGAGCAAGGAATAACCGAGGTTTTGCTCAAGCAGTTGAGTGCAGGTCGTGACATCGCGTCTCGTAAACGCAAGCGTTATGTTGCTAATGATGAACGTTTGAGTGCTGTTGTTCATAATTACGCTAATCGTTCGTACATGAAATATTTGCAAGGCATTGCTCTGAATATCACCCTTTAATTGCATAATTTTTTTTTTGTCTACTACTCATTTATTTTGTTAATAAAGTTTCGTTCAATTTCATTGATAGTTGTTGGTTTTTTTCTTTCATCATTGATTATTTTTCAGGTGGTTTTTCGAGTTGTTTTTTTATGGAATTTTTTATGAGAGAAGTTGTTTTTGGGTTGGGTTTATTAAACGAAGGTTTTTTTAACCAATTTTTTTGACGTAAAGCTGTTTTGACGGAGTGTTTTTGACGGAAAATATTTAGACATGGACCCAACTAAACATGGTTCAAAAAGTTCGAATATGTGATTTTTAGAAGGTGTCTCTACGTATGTTGCAAGTATGTATGTAGATAGGTATGTATGTCTCTGGGCTTGTTGTCAATTTTTTTCGCAATTTTCTTTATACGTTAAAAATTTAAAAGTTTTTGTCACGTTTTTTGAAGTTCAGGTTGTTCAAATGTTTTTTTCTTTAAGTTTTCTTCATAACCAAGTTGTTTTGACCAAGTTTTGTTGGCGAAGTTTTTTTAACGGAAGTTCTTTAGACATGAACCGCCTCCCCTATATCTATACACTAATAGACTGATTCATTCATTCCAAACGAGATTCGTTAACTATTAACGAATGGTAGAGTTGAATCTGACCAAATGAATATTCGCTAATAGTTAACGAATGGTTCACTTGAAACGTGAAAATAGAGTCAAACAAGGCCCCTCAAGTGTGCATTTGCTAAGAATGTACTACACCCTTTCGGCCAAAATTCACTTATTTTTCATTTTTCTGGCAAATTATTGATCAGATCGACGTGAAATAATATACCGTTTTTGCGTTTTATCATTATTGACTGACTCACGAAGTTTCATGGTAGTGCAATAATTTTCCTGCATTTTTTCTAAAGTTTTGTGAATTTCCGCAAAGTTTTAGAAAAAACGAAGGAAAATGATTGTACGATCATGAAATTTCGTGTCATTAAGCAATGATAAAACGCAAAAACGGTATATTTTTTCACATCAATCCGATTAACAATTTACCAGAAAAATTAAAAAAACATTAATTTTGGCGAAACAAGTGTAATACATTCTTAACTACTAACGAATGAACATTTGGTGAGACCAGATAGACCCTCGTCTCCAACCAAATCCATTCATTAACAATAACTAATCCTTTCTACCAGTGTACCGCTCTTGACTTGCGAAAAATTTTTCACCTTGCAGAACCACAGACTTTTCCCTCTCCTCCGAATTTACCTGAGTTTTATTAGGTAAACTTTCCAAGGGCTTCACATCCGTAAAATTGGAGGAGGTGCAATTAACGACGTACTGATGTCTTCCCTCATAACAAATCCTCGAGCAGAAACACCTATTCTGAAAAGCAGGACCACACTCCAGTCTCGCAGAGTCTGAGGTTTCCAAGCTGTGCCAATTTCTGTCATCGCAGTCCTCGGAATCATCAGCGGCACTGAGGACTAGAAATCCCAGTGCGAGCCACACACGCCGCATTTCCATTCTGCAACTTTGCATGAAAAAAAAAAGGTGCATGAACCCCAACGTTCAGAATCACAAACCGGTTTCTCAGCACGTTTGCTTATCTCGTGAGCTCACTATCGGCCCCATGAATTATTATTGAGACGTTTACAGATGATTTCATTACTTCGGTGACAAATTGACAGCCCAGAAAAATTTTTTTCTTCAAAAATTAAATGAAATATGAACATATACATAAGAAAACACACAACACATAAGAAAAAACTCAAACTTTCGTATTGTTGCCGGGGGGGGGG